GGATGTGACAATGCAAGTTCTGGTGAGGCCAGAGGCATCTCGGAGCATTTTCTTCTCCGAGAACCCAGCTCAAGGTCATACATGAGATCCCTGGTCCACTGTATTGGGGACTGAGGATGGGAAATAGGTTAGTGATTTCAGTTCGATCAGTCTAACTTTCATCTGTTGATACTTTTTTGATAGGCTGTTATACCCTTTTGTTTTATATGGAGCTCTGCAAGTATCATTTCACATTTGTTCACTTTGGTGCTAAATGTTTCACCAGGGAAATTATTCACAGTAGTTCGGTGACTAAGCTCTAAAGGAGCAAGAGCTTGCCAGAATTTGGGAGAACAGAAGCAATGAGTACCAATTAAGGTGAGGAATGCTGGGCTGTTTCCTTAGGTCAGCCAGCAACTTGCTGTAAGACTGTTAAAGAAAGAGTCACCTGACCTTTCAGGGTGTTTCCCCATATTGAAGATAAAGGTAAGGATGTAAATAAGATTGGGTGATTGGGAGGTTGGTTCATTCATTCACTGGCCCATCCATCCATCCATCCATCCATCCATCCATCCATCCATCCATCCATCCACCTATCCATCCAATGTTTATTGAGCTTCCACTCTGTTGCAGGCACTAAGGATAGGGGTAGATAGACAAATGCATGGCTTCTCAACTGTGATTCACAGTGTGAGAGACAATTTGGTCAGGTGGGAGCAGTTGGGATCTGGGAGTCAGTAATTCTGAATTCTAGACTTATATTTGAAATTCTGTTGTTTTAGAGTCACCTGTTTTGTGTCTCAGCTTTCCCAGCTGTCCATTGGGAACAGAAACAGTTCCTTTACTTCCCAGAGTACTTATGAGGATAACATGAGTTATAGAACATTAAGGCTTCTATGAGTTCAACTCTATGAAAGGCAATGGTTCAAAAAGAAGTACCTTAAGATAAAAGACTTCATTTGTATGAAATCTCAGTCAGTTTAGAATGAACTGCTTTTATTTTTGTTTATTTTCTTTGATCCTTTTGCTTTTTTGTGGAATTCTCAAAGAAAAAATAAAGTACTGTGTTAGTTGCTGGTGGATGGGAAGGTAAGTATTGTGCATAAGAATTCACACTCTGGAATCAGGTATACCTGGACTTGAATTTCATCTCTGCCATTTTTAGCTGTGTGTCTCAAGCAAGTTACTTAACCACTGTGTACTTCAATTTCTTCCTTGGTACAATGGAGATCAAATGCTGTAGTTACACTCAGATTTTTGACAGCACAGGAGGTAGGAGCCCCTAACCCCCTCATTGTTCAAGGGTCTACTGTGGTAGTGAAAGGTGGCTACAAGGATTGAATTAGATAATGAGTGTTTGATGATGATAGCTTTGAGCACAATACCTGACATATAGTAGGCTCTCAATAAATGTTATAATGTACATTTGGCTCCACTGTTTTGGGGAAAGCTTTTATCAAAATAACTGGATTGTTCTTTGGGGAAACTAGAAGCATAAGAGAGAAGAGCAGGGATGGGGACAATATCTCAGGAAGGCAGAAAATTACCTTCTCCTATTCCTCAAAGAGTATTATTTTTTAATAACTAAGAGTGAGAAGAGGTGGTTCTATTTTTGTCTTACCTCAATTCTTGGTTTCTATTTCAGATTGCTGGGGAAACTGTCTACCTAAAAACAGGGCAGTTTGAGATGTGAGGGATTTTTTTTCATTTCCTTCTTTTTTCTTTTTATTTCTCTATTTTTATTTCTCCTTTCTTGCATATGAACTAAAACCATGTTTAGAAATATTTCTAGGTCTTTATTTTGTCATTCTGAGATGTTTTCTCCCAAGTCCAATACATCTGAGCTGAAACAAGAATGGTTCAGGAACTCTCTCAACTGCCAGGGTTCCCAAAGACCCACACCTGCCTGTCTGAAAACAAATGCCCAGACTGAATTTTTCATTTTTAGCAGGAAGTCTGACGTAACACAGACATAGCTGTAAGATGCTTATTCTCTTCTCCTGGCTAAAGTGTCTTGAAAGATAAGTTGGCATAAAAAAGATACTAAAACATCCACTCAATGTTGGGTAGCCCTTAGGCCCATTCCAGTCTTTTGAATCAGCCTGCCCTATAGCAGCGTGGCCTTTCCTGGGCTTAGTTTTTATAGCCCAAGGCATTAATACATAGGCTTCATTTTCTGCATTTAGTGTTAGCTGTTAACTCTTTTTTTTGGCTGGAATCAAACACTCCCTTCCTTGAGGACTCATGACTCTCCTACCAGACTTAAACTGTTCCCTCCTCTATGCTAAAGCAGGTACAGCCTTGAATTTGGAGAGCTATTTTCAGAGATGTCTTATATCAGTTTATATCTTCCCTCCCACCCCCAGAATTAGACATTTCATAAACATCTGTTGAAATGCACCCATCAAAAGAGACAGTTCCTACCTCCGTGCTGGGAACCAAGTGCTAAGAGTATATAATTTCTAACCTTTGTACCAGTGTATGACATTCGGCTTTTCTGAACTTTCCCCACTGACCTCAGTGTAACTTTACAACATCCTTAAAATGCTGAAAATGACCTCTAATAAAAAGCAAGCCTCTATCCTGCCACCCTGTTACACCCTAAAGTCTATAAGAGATGGCACGAAGTCGGACAGTTTGCCTTAGGGAGACATCATGAGTTTAGTAACCTTTCCTGTCTTTGAGACTGAATTTCAATAAGAATTCTGCTCAATTCAAATTATATAGCACTGATGCACTGTGGGATCACGGGCGAGATCCTGATATTTCAATGCTTAGATTTTTCCAAATGATTTCTGCCCTTGATGAATATTTAATGCTGATTCTCTTTAAAGAGAATTTCTTTTTTGATTGGAAAGAAGAATATCATCTAAATAGCCAATGCCCTAGACATAAGGGGTGTTTGACCATAAATATAAAATAACCCAGGGGGAAGTAAGCGCAAATCAATCTACTCTAATAATGGTTTGCTCGTAATCTCCTAAGTATAGAAAGTCTAATAGCCTCCTCTCACTTATTAGAGATAGGAGGGAGCGTCCCTCCGTTTTGCTCCTTGTTCTAAGATACAACTTCAAGCTTGATGGAGGAACACTTTAGGAAAAACAAACATGTATGATTCAAGAATCCTACTTCGATCAACAGAGCTTTGGAGATCTCCTCCTGCAACACCCCCTCCCCCCCCAGCCCCAGGATAAATTACAGCAGACACTCTTTTCTTTTCAAGACTGCCAGTACTGCCGGCAATTTAAGGAGACTCAAACAAGAAGTGTCTGTGACTCGAAGACTCCAGTGGATGAGGGGCCTGTTCACAGTGGTGGGTTTTCATGCATTTGCTCCTCCACCTTCATCATTGTTTCAACACTGTACAGGTGGGCAAATTGGTGATAGCTCTGCTACTTGAGAAATTTATATCACATGTACATATACTTAATGAAAATAAAAAATGAGCTTGGAGGCTATGGTTGAGGGACATAAAGACGGATCTAGCCAATTATGTCAACGGACTTCTGGGCTTCCTTCTGGTCAACATCAGAGCGAACATAGAAATGTTACTAAAGTTTGTGTCTTTCATGTGTTCTCAGGTTGAGGGATAATAAGTCTACCCTAAAAGCCTTGCCAGCACTGCTAGATTTAGATTATCTGCCACCTTCTTGGTCCTCAAGTATTTCTGCATGAGTAGTGTTCCCAGGATAGAGCAAAGAAAAATCTCTCTTCATTTAGAGTGAAGGCTGCTTTCCTGTGCTGCCCAGGGTCTGCTTTCCTCTGGGTGCCAATTTGTGCTACAATGTAGGCTCAGATTGTCTTTTTTTTTCTTGTGATAACAGATTCCATTAAGTGCATCTTTCTGTTCCTTCCCAAGCATCCTGGGAGCTCCTGGTTATAACCATCTCCCTACTCCTCCTGTGGCAATTCACCTTCAGCCATCATACTGCATTCCTAAGTGAAAAGCTGAAACTACAGAAATAAAGGAAAATGCTGGTTCCTATAGTGACAGGTAGCTGCCCTTCCTTTTAGCCGTGTAAAATTTATCCTTTTTTTCTTTCAAGTCATTGTAGAAGCAATTTACAGTAGCATGAAGCAAGTAGGCTCATTTGATCTAATCATTCTGCTAGAGAACCCCCAAGAGCTCTGAAAATGATAACCACACATGAATTTATACATTGATAATCAGTTCCAAAAGCATAGCTAAAACAGCATCTCACTGAATAAAAACTATTAGGCTTATTTTATTCATTTAAGACAAATTTAGCCCATCCCATTCTTTTTCTACTTCATCTCCCCAAAGGACAAGTTCAATTAATCCATTTATTCTTCCTGTTTGACTGCTCCTCTCCCAAATTGGAATCAGTGAGTTTTATTGCAAATGTTCTTTTGATTCCATAATTGCTATCTGCCCTATTTTACCCATTTAAAAATAGTATGAGATTCATTAACCATGCCCTGCAAATGGATGTTCAATTCAGTGTCAAGAATACAAAAGAGCTTCTATATTTACATTATTGGTCTTGATATTTCCCCTTATTAAAGAGTTTTCCTATTATTTCATAAATTTTAGTGCCTCACTCTAAATACAATTTCTTAAAATGTTATACCTACAGAAGCATATATTTTTAAAAGTCATACATGTAGCTAAAGACAGAACAGAATGTCAAGGCTAGATGTGACTTAAAGGAGTCAAAATCATTACAAATGAGGTTTTTATGTAGATAGGTTATGTTAAAAATCACTCTCATATGTTTAAAGTGATTCAGTCTTTTGTGATTTCTTGGGAGTATTTACTTGGAAATACTATCCTTTTCTGTTCCTCAGACTGTAAAGCTAGCCTAGGCTGGCAGGGAGGGTGGATACTTTGATGACGACCTGGCAATTTAAATGCAGCATCTCCCTGACTATGTGGCTTCCTGGTAGGCTCCATTAATACTGGAATAATGGGATCATGGCCCAGGAAAAGGCAGTAGGGTTTAGGAAAAGAATATGTCAGGAAAAGGGATTAGTGATCCTAAAATATGGTCACTCCTTACCTCTTCAACCAGTTGCAGCATACGACGGGTGCTTTCCAGTGACTGAAATAAAAAACATAAGTATTGTAAGTACAGGATCCAGAGGTCTTGGGAAATCAGATCAACTTTCTTCCCTTGGGAAACACAAAGGGTCGCTAGCACATATTCTTTTATGTTTGTAACTGAAACACAAACGGTATTCCCATTTTCAATCTCTTTCCTATCAGGCTTTTTACATAATAAAATTCCCTAAAGCAATTACGTGAAAGCTGATCTTCATAAAATCAAAACCATATAAAGCTGATCTTGATATCAAAGTCAGAGTAATCTGGGAAGATAATTTTGCATATGCAGGATGCATGAAAAATTATTTCAAATACTCAGAGGACTAATTTGGCCTGCCTGGAACAGGAATATTGAATTTTAAGCACAAACAAAAATTTTCATGAATTGAGATGATTCTAACATCGAGGTTCTTATAAAAGCCTCTAGAAACACAACTGGAAGTTCTTATCAGTACAAATTAAGCTGTTGCCTTAGGGTGAAAAAAAAATCAAGCATGTTTGAAATAACTAGCCTATAGGAGACAGCTATAATAATTATCTTCATCCTTAGATAAGAAAAAATGAGATGGAAAGTCTGAACTCAGCGCTGGTCCCTCAGGCATCGTGTTTTCAGTTGCTTTGAAACTACTAGAATCTAACAGCCAGTGTGATTTCTCAAAGCTGCATTTTTTATTATTATTATTAGTAGAGCATAGGGAATAGAATCAATGGAATTGTAATAGATATATACAATGTCAAAGCTGCATTTTTAAGTGATGAACTTATTTTGGACAAGATTCTGCAGAAACATGAAGAATGTTAACCTTCCTGAAAGAGCTGTGAACAGGCTACTTTTGGAAATAGAATGGCTGTAAGCAGTGGTATGCTAGTAAATGCTTAACATTTGGCTCTCTAGAAAAAACGATATGAATATATATATATATATACATATATTTATATATACACATATATGTATTTAAGCTTATTATTTTAACGATATAAAGGATGAATAGCACAAAATTTATAAATAATATTAAAATACACAATACTTTCTATTGTAAATTCCATATAACCGATTGAGAAAGCTTTTGTTGATTTCTGCTGACCTCGCCTATAGCTAAGTATGCGTACAATAAATGCAGTTCTGGCATGAATGCTGGTTGATACTTTCTTTCATTTACATTAATAAGAGGGAAGTGAAACGAAAAGACATATGTTGGAACTTTTCAATGATGCAAGTGACTTCTTTGCTAAAGAGAATCATGGTTTTCAAATACTGGAAGATTTTTCTCAATTTTTTGGGTTTCACAGTGAAATAGCTGCAGACATGCACACTTTTAAATATAATCTGTATTATTAATATTTTCTCTCCTTTCTTAAGTCTAGACAATCAACAAACCAAGAAGTCCAGCCCTGAATTGTAGTGTGTGCAGACTTCCCGGTATAAATAACTCTTACCCTGTCTGATTTCTATACATCACAGTGTCCCTGACAGTGAACTTGGGAAGATTCATAGTAACAAGTCATTACATGGTATCCCCCACACTATAAACCCAATACATTTCAAGAACTTTGAGAGCATAGAGAGTAATAAAATAATCAGGAAGTGGTAAGTTCTGAGTATTTAGTATACGTGTGATTTTATTTTTATTTATTTATTTATTTATTTTTTATTTTTTATTTATTTATTTTTTTTAGCTGAGCCATCCTGCTACCTATTGGCAGCTTAGCGGCTGCTCAGCTCGGGCTGGCCTCGAACCGCTGTTGCTCAGAGCTCAAACTCTTGAGCGAGCTCTTAACCAACTGAGCCATTCGGCCGGCCCCAGTATACGTGTGATTTTAATACAATCTATTTA